GACGTCATGGAGGGATCCCCCTGCGGAGAGAGGTCGCAGCACCTATACGTAGGGGCAGCCGCGGCCTCTGCTGGTTCGCGTGGAACCTTACATAGCTTCCGCCTCACCGCCGACGGCGCCGTCTGGAGTTGGGGCTTGGGAGGCTTTGGCAAGTTGGGCCACGGCGACCAACAGGATCTGCTGCTGCCCAAGAAGATCGAGGCCTTGGCTGGCCAGCGCGTCATCGCTGTCGCGGCTGGACTCGGCCACAGCCTCGCCCGCACCGCTGACGGCGCTGTCTGGAGCTGGGGCAGTGGAAGCTTTGGCAAGCTGGGCCACGGCGACGTGCAGGAGCAGCTGCTGCCGAAGAAGGTCGAGGCCTTTGCTGGGCAGCGCGTCGTCGCCGTGTCGGCAGGAGACTATGCCCACAGCCTCGCCATCACCGCCGACGGCGCTATCTGGAGCTGGGGCCAGGGCGGAAGCGGCTGCCTAGGCCACGGCGATCTGTCGGACCAAATGTTGCCCAAGAAGATTGCGGCGTGGGCGTGACTGATCTCGCACGTGTCGCTGTGGGAAAGATGATCCGGCTCTGACCTCTGTCTAGAGTAAGGGGAAGCTTATGCGCTCGACCTCGCGGCGCTACGATGGCATGCTTCTTTCTCGGGCGCACCGTAAGCTTTTTGTAACTGTCAAAGCGGTAGCGGCACGTGACACGAGTTTAGTCGTAGGCGACCGGACCGTCGTTATTTATATCTCCACTCGAACGAAAGAGGGCCGAGAGATAAGCACACGCCGCGCCCCCGGGCTCTTACAGTGCACAGACACTTGTCGTACAGCTCCTATCATTTGCTGCAGCAGCCGCACTCGCGCACATCGGGCTTGGCAATGCGGCCGCGGGGAGGTGGGCCGCGCGACCACCTCGATTGTGAGGTCTGCCAGCACTTGGGCGCTGCGAGAATCGTCAATCGAATATTTCTCTCCGCAACTCCGGCGGCCAATTAACAGAATAAACGACGTGGGTGGGATCTCTTCCCACAGAGTCTGCGTGCAGTCTCGGCGCTGCGCGGTGCGTGCGCCCCAGCGGGGCCGCAACCCGGCCGCCCCACTCCCGCACAGCGGGCGCACACCGCACACAATATAGCATGGTTCACGTATGGGGGAGCAGGTAGAGATGCGTACGAGGAGGGAGGAGGGCGGGAAGAGGCAGCCAGCGAGGAGGGAGGAAGGCGGGAAGAGGGCAGCTAGCCACCAGCGCTCTGTGCGGACGCAGACTCCTCGGGCGCACCGCCGCCCGCCGGCGTGGCCGCCACCAGGCGTTTGGCGGCGCGCCTACTGGCCCTTCTTGGGGTCCTCCTTCTTGGCGGTGAGCAACTGCTCGAAGTACTTCCACAGGACGCTGAAGAGCATCGCCGAGACGCCGTTCGTGAGGAGCCTAGGGCGTGAAGACGCCAGCCTCGGGGCGGGAGGACGGCCTCGTGCAGCGTACTCAGAGCAGTGCGTGAACACGAGGGGTGCGAGGACAGCGAATACGACATGAGGGCGGACGACAGTTGAGCGCGTGTCCTCTCGAGTGCTGGTTGGGAGACATGAATACGTCTCCCGCTTCTAGGGCGAGAGGAGCTTGGTGCCGAGGCCGCGCAGGAAAAGGCCCTGCACACCGTCCTCGGCGATGATGGCCGAGATGGTGGCCATGTACGTAAGCGCCTGCCCACGCCGAGCCCGCGGGGTGTGAGCCGACAGGGCGCCGTGTGTGGACGGGCAGAGGTAGGGTCAGGTAGCTGTCACGC